TTATAAATTATCTATGTCAAACATAGTATTTTGTTTAACCTCTTTACTTTTCTTTCTATAAATAGCATTCATATAAGCTTCAACAGTATCAAGCAAAGATACAAGCTTCAACAAGAACTTGCATGGTGTGTGATTTGATTGTTTTAAATTACAATTTTGTTCTTTAAAATTGATTTTTTTTCTCTTTTTTCTGGGTGTGTTTTATAGTTTGCAGTCACAGTCACATGTTATTGCAGTCACAGAGGTTCACATGAGATAGAGGCCACCAAGGGGTCCACAGCGGCACATGAACCATGGAGGCCACCAATGGGTCCAGGTACAGGACCTTAAAACATACTTTACATTATATATCAACCATCTATATTATTAAATATACTGGCAGAAATCTTGTATAGCTTCTTCAATCTCAACATTTCCCAAAAACATGAGTTCTAATCCCAAAAACATCTCGGATCATATGGGCAACACGAGTCAGTCACCACCATCCCGTCCCAGTAATGGTGGTGGGGACCAATCTAATATTTCCACTAAGAATCCCCTTCAAACTGCACTTAGCTATACCAACGACAGGGAGGGAGAGGTATATTAATATTTTCATCTTCTTTCCATCAAGTCTTAATTTTATTCCATTTATCATCTTGATTTTGCAGCGGAGAGTGGGAACTAATTAGAATCAACATTTACTTCCACAAAAATAGGCCACGACTTGTTCTTTCACAGGATTGTTATTCCTTTCGTAAGCTTTTTCTCTATGTCCGGGCGATCTCAATTCCTTCTTAAAAGGAGAAGGGATCCTCTTCTTTATATTCTATTAAAGCACCAAGGAAAGAAGCTAAGCGTATAATAACCAAGAAGGCAGAAAAGGGATCCTTTCATGCGATTCAATCTCAAATCAGGGGATCCCATGGTCAATAGATAGGCAATTCGGAAAAGGGACTCTTCAGTCTGAAAAAAGGAGTCTCTACTTATGTACAACTAGTCTTTTGTCATTGTATGTATGTATGAAAATTCCTTCCATTTATACACATGAAGATTATTCACTGTTCACAAAACAACTTGTTACTCTTGGAGAACTGCTAAAAGTTGGTTAAAGAGTGTTAGTTGTCATCACTTTTCTTTCTTAAATTTGTGAGATTTATTGTTAATTATATTGAATATAGAGCATGTATTTTGATGGGCATGGGACAGGGCCGCATAGGTTACACTGTGTCCTATTTAGAAGATTGATTAAAAGCTGAGAATGGAGGTGTGGGAAAGGGGAGGGAAGCTTAGGCGAGAGAGAGAGAGAGGTGAGAGGAAACGTGAGCGGCTTGGATTCTGCCTATCATCAAGCCAAATTCACTTACAAATTATAAACGAATCCAATATCATATCTCTATGATGTTATAAATTAAGAGATAAACTTGTTTACTAAATATCTCTGTTTTAATGTCAACGACAAAATTAACCAAAAATAACGTATTCATTTCAAAATTTATTAATTTATTTTCATGAATATGCTATTTTTGGTTAATTTTGTCGTTGGCATTATCTGGTTTTTTGGGTACTGATAGGTACAACTCGTACCAAAAAACAGAACAAATTCGGCCTTTGACTTATATATATATATATATGACAAATGCATGTTATTGATATTTTCAAAGGTTATTTAAAGCATGTTATTGATATTAATCAATTGAACATCATATCTCTATTATTGTTAGATAAAATTTTAGAATAAAAAATTTAATTTAAGCATTTCAAACTAAAAGATTAAATACAAACCATTAAAATTTTAAAAAAAAAATATTGCATACACAGGTTAAGCCTTTATTTAAAGAATGTATGTTTGTCCAAAAAGAGAGGGGGCAGTTCTCAATAAAGATTCAGTAGCAAATTATTTTTATTCTAATGATTGGGTCCATGTTAGGATCGACAACGAGAGTGAAAGATATCCCAATTTTGTTGCCATCCTAAATTTAAGAGTTAGTAAGTACTAATTAATAGATATGATTCTCTTTAAATTTAATTTATCAACAAGTAAATATAAAGCTTTATTAATAAAATGGTGTTTTAAATTATAAATTATCTATGTCTAACATACTATTTTGTTTAACCTCTTTTTATTTTTCTTTCTATAAATAGCATTTATATAAGCTTCAACAACATCAAGTTTCAACAAGAATTTGCAGTGTATGATTTGATTGCTTTAAATTACAATTTTGGTCTTTAAAATTGAAAATTTTCTCTTTTTTTCTGGATGTGTTTTATAGTTTGCATTCAATTAATTTCAATAGTAAGTTTTATCTTATCATGCAAATTTTGTTAGATGAACGTTAATTCAAACAAGTAATTGTTAGGTTATAATATTGTGATTAATAATTACATTTTTAAGAGCATGATATAAAATTAAAAAATATTAAAATATATTTTTTATATTTTAATAAAAATTATTTATTAATTTCTTAACTCTGTTGCATACAAAGCTAATAATTTCCATTTTCCCCCCTCAATAGGTGATGTGGGCTGGTCTGACATTCTGATTGGGCTTACGTGGAATCCATATAAAACCAATCTACTGTTACGTTTAGCTGACTGACTCACACATTCACGACCCCCAAAAAAGGCAGAAAATTAAAATATATAATATATGAACAATTTTTGTCATCAATTTTAATAAAAATAATAGATAAAAATTAATATTTTTCATAAAAACAACATTGATTTAATCAATTTAAAAATAATTGTATTGAAATATATATTAAATTTAATTATCAGTTGTCTTGCTGGTTTTACAATGTGACTTTTGTGAGCGTGAGCTAACAATAAGAGAGAGGAAAGGTACATGTGTGTGCAGGGGAGAAAAAATTATTAAAAGATGGGTCAATTTTTATAACGAATAAAAATTTGTTATTTTTTAAATTCTATTTTGTTTTGTTTTCATATTTTTATAAAATAAATATAATTGAATTGTTTTAATAAAGAAGAGACTTTTAATTTTTATTGTTTAAATATTTTATAAAAGATAATTTATTTTTACTATTTTGAAGTATATTTTATTTTATCTTAAAAGAAGTTACTTATATTTAAATTAGTTTGATTAATTATTTTAAATTTATTTTAGATTAAGTAAAAATATAACTTGATAAAATTGAGTGTTGACGGTATTTCATTAATCTAATATGACATTTTTTTAATTGACTTCCTTCTAAATAAAATAAAAATTTATATTAATTTATTGTAACAGCTTTGTTCAACAAATAAATAATTAACTCAACAGAAAGTATATGTTAGCAAAAAAAGGACAAATAAAACATATACCAAGAATTCAAGATCCACAAACAATTATCAAAATATATGTCAGAAGTGGGATTTGAACCCACGCCTTCTCACGAAGACCAGAACTTGAGTCTGGCGCCTTAGACCACTCGGCCATCCTGACTATAGTTTACATAACTTTAATAGGTTCAATCATCTCATAAAAAATTTCTCTTGTTCTTTTTTATCCTTTCATTTTCAGAATTTTATTCTACTTAAATTTTAAATTCATAATATAAAAAATTAATAATTAATATCTCATAAATTTATTTTTTATTTTTATTTCTTATAATGACATACTGTATAAGAATTAATTTCAATACAATAAATTAAAATATTCACTTTTTCAATATTGATAAATTTAGATTATTTTAAATTTTTATATGATTATTTATTACTAAAAGGGTGAGAAAAATATCAATCACTCCACCATTCTCTTAATAGGAATATGATGCTAAACTTGGACCAACATAACACCAAACTTCTTAAGAGGTATGTTTGTTTGTTCTTCTTTTTCATATCCTTTTTAATTCTAGTTTTTGTTTAATTTTAGGAATATACAATTTCAATTTTATACTTTGCTCAATTTTCTTCTTCTTTTTTATTATTCGATTATATATATTATTAATTTATTCTTTATCTATGTATAGAACATTCATAATTCATTAATTTTTTTGTTACTTACACACCTTTGTTATATATTTTTTCATTGTTTAATAAAAATAAATTTTAACAATTAAGTCATCTTTAACAAAGTTAGATTTTGTGTCACTTTTCTTTTTTTACATGTATTTTTGTAGATTGCGTGTTTAGAATGTCAAAAAAAAAATTGTTTATATATTGTTATTAAAATACTCTGTTAATATTGTAGACTTTTATTTTTTATATATATATTTTGAGTATAATTTTATAATAGCGTATCTCATGTAAATATTAAAGGAACAGTGATCGACCAATGAAACTTAGTAAGTAGATACCATAATTTGATTTTAAAATATAATATTAATATATTACAAATAAGGAAAATCTCTTTGTAAAGTACATTGTATTATCCAAAAAATATTATTTTACCTTCTTTTATTAAAACATTATTTTTTATTTAAATTTATAGATGTGTTATTTTATAATAAATAATTGACTATTTTTTTTATTTACACTGCAGAGAATTATGAGATGAAACAATTAAGAATTCAAAAAAAATAATAACACAACCCACTTTTAACTTTTTAAAAAGTTTGTTAATATTTTTGTAAAATTTTCGTCAAGACGAGAGTGAACCATGTCCACCTGGTTTGAACTGGACTCTTAAAAACAAAATGATTTTGTTTCTTTTTTACTGTTTAATTTTAAAATATTTTTAAATTAAATAAAAGCTCATTATGATAATATATTGTTATTATTTAACTATTTATCATAAGTTTTTATAGTATAAAATATGTCATAAATTTTTTAAAGTCTTGCTTAATTATTAAAATTTTATATTGATTAATTATTCAATATATTATATAATATTTAAAAACATATACTTAATTATCAACAATTCAACTCCGGGTTGAACTATTGAACCGTGACACTGCTTTCACCGTACAGATTTTAGGGTGGATTCCCCATACAAAAATTGAGCATAAAATAAAATACAGCAGAGCTTTGTCCTAGGATTTTATGTCGTTGTAGAAAATACTTCTTTGAACAAGTGATGCTTGAATTTGCCCTCGTTTTCTAATTATTAGACAGCGTAAAATAAACTTATGAAAAGAAGTGACAATATGTCATGATCAAATTTTAAAATAAAACAAAAATGACGGGATTTGAAATATAATCACAAGCATTTGTTACTTGGCACTTCAATGGAGAAAAACAAATGCAAGTCGCAAATCAAGAAAAGCTGTAAATAGCATCAGAGAGACCAAAATAATGTTTCCTAGTTGTACAGCAGTGATATTATGACAATCAAATTATGGACCACCTAATAATAACAACTACATCTTTTTCATTGTAGTATTTGACTACCGTAATCAGCATTGAATTTGTCATATTTGTGGGCATGGAGATGAGCAGATGGCCTTGTGTTCTTTAAAGCTGTCTCTATGTCTTCAGGTCTGATTGGCCCAACTCCCGGTAACTCTGCAACCCAACAGCACTTTTAGTTCCCGAGGAGAAAAATTAAACTCAGATATTTATGAAAATGGCTAACACATTGTTTAAAGAAAATTGCTTATATTTGAAGACTACATAAAAGGAACAACTATCTGTTCCTGTGTAGACACATTTTGGCAACTGGATTACGGTTTAATTTTGAAAACGATATACCTTCATCAGGGACCACCTCCTGTCTCTTTTCAAGTTGCGACATTAAGCGTCTCAAGGGCTGCATTGCTGTCTCTTTACAGAGTAATCGGATATCTGAGCCTGAATATCCTTCAGTCTGGTCCACCAGTAAATCGTAGGGGATCGGTTCCTCGTCAGGCTGTGGGGGAAGGAGTGCCTCAAACATTGCTCTTCTCGCTTCTGGTTCTGGAAGTGGTACAAGTATCTTTCAATTATGGTCAAAGGACAACAATTAGAGAAGGATTGATAAGCTTTCAATTGCAAGATCACTAGATCAGATTGCTTATTAGGCATCATGTAAATAAGCATTTAAGAAAATTCTATCGTCAATGGAAAATTGGAATAACCATCAATTTGCTGATCAAAAGGTAGGATGGAGTATGAGCAGCAACATAATCTTCCAAAATGGAATTAAATAATGTGAAGTGTAAACTCGTATGTCCCAAACATCTAGAATTATACAATAAGCTTTCAAGCATGCCAACACAAACACACCTTTACTTGTCTAGCATTGCATCTCTACACGGACTACAGGCAAAATACAAATTGAAATTTAACCCCAAACCAATAATTGCTGTTATTTTCATAGATCACAACCCAAGTAACTTAGATAGAATGCAAGGATCATTTATAAGCAATGAGGTGATAAAAAATGCCCAATAATTCATTCATGCTCCAAAAAAAACAAAACAAATAGATGATACATGTTTCTTCCCAAGGGCAATAATTCCAAGCCTACGATGAAAAATGTCATTTAGAGGACTTGAAAATTAATCTATTCAATTATCATGAACACTAAGCAAAAGCTAATATATGAAGGATACACGCTTCTCCAGACGTCGGAGCATGGCTGCATCCAATTCCCAGGGAAGATTTGTTGCCGCCAAAACAAAAACAAGTTCATCTGTCCGTGTCAAACCATCCATCTGCAATCTTAATCCAAATGATTACATTTTTGAGAAAACACAGCAGAATACAAATGACTCTCCATCGACGATAATGCATACTAAGATGAAGAGTCTGAATTTGCAGAGGACACAAGCTCCCATCCAAGCAAAAGAAAAATCTTTCACCGTTTCAAATGCCAATTATCATGGGAAACTTAAATAACTAATGAGTTAAGTCACGATAGCTGCAAAAGCTAAATAATAACAATCTATCTGGATATCAGGAGATGTTTAAGGATCTTCTGCATACTGCAAGGGAATTACCAGAAATACAGGATTATGTTTTGCAGTCAACTAAACGAGCATTGCAGTCTGAATTTGCTAAACAAGCATTGCAAGGGTCCACCTTTAGCTATGAAACTGTTATCTCTTGGATTGTAAAACAATTCCCTACTCGTACAGTTTATTTTAATATTTTTCTGATACATGAATCTGACATAGGAGAGGCAAAAAAAAAATTCATATATAGGTAGGTATATAGATGCTATCTTCCTAAGTTAGTACTAGAAATGGGTGGAGCCTGACTCAACCTCAAAGGCTAGCTCAAAAAGGAGGAATGTCCAAGCTTTATATATAGAGTATTTTGGCCATATTCCAAGTTGATGTTGGACATCTTAACAGTTAGAATGTGCTCAGTGAAATTAATTAACAAGAAAATTTCATCAAAAAAATCATTGCATTAAAACTAAGAAACAACTGATAAAATCATATCAACAGAGTTACCAAATATGGTATCTTAGAAAATAGACAATTGTTATGGATTGGTGATAGAGCTAATAATAAAAAATAAAATAAAAACTTTTAACTGATTAATCATATTATTATTGTCTAATTAGTAACTTGATGATTACAAAAGTATGTTCAATGTAAGAAAGAAGCATCACCTGAATGAGAAGCTCAGTTTTTAACCGTCTACTTGCTTCATGTTCACTGCGAGCTTCACCACGTTGAGTAATGATTGCATCAATTTCATCAAGAAATATTGTCGAGGGAGCATGATGCCTAGCAAGTTCAAATAACACTTTCACTAACTTCTCTGAATCACCTGCAGTCCAAAATAAATTTTGTAAATTTACATATTTGCAAAATAACAAACTACAAAGAAAAAGAGGAGAAAATAGCAAGAAAAAGGAATGAATACAGACAAAATAGCAATTAAAATGAAGTAGCAGAGAAATCAAAATCTTGCAATAACATTTCATCACTTAATGAAAAGCATTTGGGCACTTTTTTTATGAGAACAGGTTATTGACATTTAAAAAGGACAATTTATTAAATCCCAATTCAAGAGTCTATATGTTAAAGTTTCATATCAGAGTTTTTTATAAGTAGCTGCTGTATAATCTATAGGCATTCCAAAACAATGTTCAATGAGTAGACTTACATCCAGAAATGAGCATGGAATTAAGAAAAATACACAAATAAAATAATTTTAAAATATTTAGTTTTTGCATTGTAATTTGACAATTTTGTGTTGAACTAGAAGCTCTCATCATCTAGATGTATGCATGCACTTAGTTAATGGCATTTGATGAATCAAGAGTCATAATAAATATCATTCAAAAATATTCATTTGCGAAGGCTATTAAATGTTAAAATAGAGCCATTCAAAATACATATATATTCTACACTCATTCTTTGAGATAATTGATTTACAATAAGATTTGAGAAGCTGAACATGACAAATGGTCCAGGTGTTTAGAGAGTCATGCAATCAATTGTTTTAATCCAAATCATTCGTGATCAAAGGGCTGACTTAAGCTCCTCTTCCTAATTAGAGACCAGTGTTTCAATTTGATATATGCTATGCATGCCTGTCTGTGTTTATTTGACTAAGTAAAACACAGATGATAACAAATGACCTTTCCAAACCCAACAAGGTATATGATCAATTGGCAAGATTCATGGTAGTTAGCATTGTAGAATTTGAAGACCAATAGTTAGTTAGTCATATCTTCCAGAAATATTCTATCTGCTTTTGAAAAAACCAATTTTACAATTTCAAGAAAAAACCAATATTCTATCAGCACAAGATTTCAGTCACTTTCACAAAAAAATGAACACTTTCAAAGTTTCATTACTAGACTAAGATGCATAAAAGAAACATAAATAATCTGTTGGGGGGGGGGGGGGGGAAGGTGGGGGAGTTCTAACATGCCTCGCCATTTGCTGACAACAGATGATGCTGAAATATTAAAAAAAGTAGTCTTGCACTCTGTCGCTACTGCCTTTGCAAGCATTGTCTACAACATTCAAACCAAAAGTTATGAAGTTATTAAATTATTAAAAAAATGTTATATTCACAATCATGAATCATCAAAATATGGAAATAGAATAGATGATATTTCTTCTAACAGAATTTTTTTTTGAATTTGTAATTTTATTCGCACACACACCCACAACAACATTCTCTAGTAAAGGAGAATATCAATACAAACCTTTCCTGTCCCTGGAGGGCCAAAGAGGAGAATGCCCTTCCATGGTGATAACAGACCAGTAAAATACCTAGACAAATGAGAAAGATTAGCTTAACCATGAGAAAAAATTTAACCCTATATGTCTAGTAAAGTTTTATTTGCAGATATGCAACTTTAGCAAATGAATAAGTTAATCAACAATCATTTCTTAGAACAACAGCTTAATGCAGCCATTTTTAGCTTTACTAGGAGCTTGGACTACCGATCTCAAGAACTAAAATAAAATATAAACAAAATGACTGATGTGGTTAAAATTTCAAAATAATAAATCCAGAGGTATGTTTCTTTGTCGTTTTCAGACAAAGCATCCAAACCATATGAGTCAGCCAGAGCTTTTAAGTTCCCTTTGATTCAAGGACTTAAAGTTGAGATTTTTTTTCCTTACAAAGAAAAACAACATATAAGAAAGAAAATAACCATAAAGAAGGGGAATAAGAAATCCTCCTAGAGCAACCAAGACATTAAGAAAAATAAAAGAACAAGTACATTTGCTCAAAGCTGTACAACTACAATCCCTTTGTAAATCACCCCACTGAAGAAAGCATAAGCTAAATCCATAGAAGTCAAATGGAACTACTCTATCTCACAAAAGGTGTGAGGGATGAAGCTTCAGATGAAACACTCTAGTATTTCACTAGTTAGAGATACCAGAACCACACAGAAAGCACACTTCCAAAACACTAACTTCCTCCTTCTTGCCGGCCCATGTTGCAACCTACTAGGCAAGTAAATCTGTCTGAGGTAAAGTGAAAACAGAGAAGCCATTTGATGCAGTAAAAACCATGAAAATGTTTGGCAAAGTAAAAATATGTATGATTTACTTAATTGAGATAGTAAAGGAAACTAGACTTATAAATAATCCAAAGGTTGGAATTTCCAGCTGTTTATACATGAGACTATTCCATCTAGTTACATACCTTGTAACATCGTGCAATATATAGAATATAAATTTATTACTAGGAAAGATCTAGAATCTAGATAAAATATTGTTTTAAGATATTGCTTATAAAATTAAAGCAGGATGTGAGCCATCATACAGCTCAACTAAATTATGAGAAGGTTAATTTAAAATGTTTTTGTTATCACTTCTTTCATCTTGAGTTAAAAACACAAGTTTATATTCATTTATCATTGTAAATGATCTATAACATCCAATAAAGAGATCTCAAGTGTAACATATACAAGAATATCAAGACAAGCAGTGAAACAAAAAGGTCAATAGCTCTAACGAATGTTAGGTGTAGACAGTTTTCAATAATGATACCTACTTGGGATACTTAATTGGCATCACAACAGCCTCTTTCAATAAACGTTTGGCATTCTCCAATCCTTTGATGCTTTCCCACTTAACATCCGGACTTCCACGAACGATATCCCTGCAATTTTATGATGTGAGATGACATACATACACGAAAATAGAACTTGAATATAATTATAATTGAGAACCATGACCCACACACAAGTAACTGCTCCATGTAGTAATCAGTTGTATCATGGGTGTTGGAAAGATTGAGGGAAGAGAAAATTTACCTACTTAGGCTCTCTGCTAAAGAACGCATGTCTGCAGATTCAAAAGGTGGAAGCAAAGACTTCTGCCTGAAAATATTAAGGATAATTATCAGTAGTCCTGAGAATGAATTGATTTTCTCTCTTCCATATTGTCCCTTAGAGTCACAAAACTGGTTACAATTGTGAGTGAAGATCAAAGGATCAATTTCAGTTGTGACATATAAAACATGCACATCAGTATTTTGTCTGTTTCTTCTCTTTAGTTGGGAACAACTTCTCTATCTTCCGTGTCCATTAGACTCAGAGAACTCCAGAGATGATACTATCACAATTCTAAGTAAATATCAGAGGATCAATTTCAACTGTGGCTATTCTGTTAAAATATGCACAATTACATGATATTATCTGTTTCTTTCCCTTAGGTGAGGTCAAAACCTAAAAGATAGGGAGTAAGCATAAACCCCAGCGAATTCAAAAGGCAATGAAAGAAAATAGAAAATTCATTGATCACATCATGGTCTGATCCTGCTTGTCTAATTTTGAGTATCAAGGATTTTGACCATAGTTCGCATAATCTGTCAAACAATCAATTATGAATGACGACCTCATGTCTGTGATACAAATGACCTTTAAAATTCCAAAAATTTGCTCTAATTAGTGTTGATTTCACCAGTGGCATTTTTATTATTATTATTTTTATTTTTATTTTTTTTTGGTATGACAGTACTAGAAAGCTTGACTATATCTCCCACGTATTTAAGATTACCATATTAAATATATAATAAGAGCTTGTGCAGCCAGCCACGAAGTTAAATTACATATTACAAATCAGTCTTTTCTGAAAAATTTTAGGTTATCAGTTTCATGCACATCGGTTTTACCTGCAATTAACACAAAGATTAACACATGTTAAGGCCAAGCTAGGCCCAGTGAATATAGTGCCACTTAAGCATTATTTGTTTCCACTGTTAGCACTAACAGTCACATAAACTTTGGCAGCGTAATACTGATTTATACAATTACAGCGTCATACACAACAGCAGTACACCACTACCGGTCAATTACCTAATTAATCAACTTCAAAGTGGATAGTTAATCAAATAATTTCAATTATTGAAACTGATAGTTTCAGTAATCGCTTGACTAGGTATTTAATATCCAATCAAAACTCAATTCACAAATCAGCTATGCTTTTAAGTTATTATGTGCTAATTAAGAAGTCCAAAAATAGAAAGTGAAGGATCAGAGAATCATACGGCCTTTCATCCATATTGTTCGGAGAAATACCATTAGTGTGAGTCAGATTCTGCTCCTGAAACACAAAAATCCAAACCATGATGAAGCATAAATGAGTGAAACTTGAAGGAGTATGGCTAGTTAGCCAATCTCCAGAAAACTTGACGTATCAGACATAGTACCTGGCTTTGAAACTGCTCGTAAATAGCCATATCCGACGCTCTTTTGCCATTAGATGCAATGCCCAATGAACTTCCATTACTGACCGGTTTATCACCATTTTCGCCATCCTCCGCGACTTTCTTCCTACCAAACTTGGCATCATAATAAAATTTGAAGTCCTGGAGATCCAAACAAATTATGTAAAATTCTCGGTCGTCCACCACATCAGGATTCAAAATCAGGAAAACCAAAATGAACAAAAAAAAAAACATAGTATCCTAACAACTTAAACTTCCAATAAATTCTGCAAGCCAGTGAGGAAACAAAAGAAAATCGATCCGAGATACTAAAACAGCTCCAAACGCATGAAGAGAAAACAGAACAGGAAAAATATTAAAAAAATATCGGATCCTCCTTATACTAGAGCACGAAGATTCAAGCTACTAGGATCGGAGAAATGCAGTACAGAGAATCGCCGCATCAAAACCGAAAAGCAAGAAGAAATCGAGAGCGCATAATTTATCTAGTGTAGGGAATTATTTTCTCGGGAAACAAGTGGAAAAGAGAAATTAAAACCTGGAAAGACCAGCGAGTAGGCATTGGTTCTTCGGCCATCTAAGAGAGAGAGTTGAATCAGTGTTTCTCTCTCTAGAACGGAGAGACAGCGAGGCAAAGCAGCACCTCTGGCTCTGGAGAGAGTGAAAACCAGCAAGGAAATGAATTCACAGTAATAATATAGTATCGCGATAGTGGAGAGGAGAGAGAAAGAGCACTGGTCACGTGTGGGGAAACGTGCGTTAATAATGCACAAACAAATCTGCGCTGCTCTATACACGCTGCTTTTCTGTTCCCTGCCCATAACTAATATCACACTTCCTTGAGTGTTGAGAATGCAATCTTTTAATCTAATTTCTTTTAAATTAATAACATGTTATCTTAGATCTTAGATATTAATTTCAATTTATTAAACATTATAAAAGTAGTGAGTTTTAAAAATTTTGTTATTAATTTAATATTTTACTTTAATTCCATGATTTATATTTGTAATTTTTAATAAACTTTAACTAATATTCAAAATAATATTTACAATTGTTTAATAACACATTTTAAATAAATTATATTGAAAATTAAAATATTTATTATCTTAAAATCATAAAAAAAATTAATACACATTTTATAATAATTTAAAATATTTAATAAAATATATTTAATATTTTTTTAACATGTGTTATTGGATATATATTCAAAATTAATATTTAAAAATGTGTTAAAGAAAATGTATTTTTATTTTTTAAATAAATTTCAGTAACTGAACAAAATTATTATAGATTATAAAAATAGTAAAAAATATTAAATCAATAATGAAATTTATGTATTTTTATAATTGTTTTTTATAGTTATTTAGAAATATTAGAAACACAATATTTTAATAAAATATAAAATTCGATTATGAATTATACTAAAAAAAGTCCATCTTAATATTATGATATATTTACGTTAAATTTGATATATATTACTGAATAATATTATGAACTTAGAACATCTTAATAAACATCTTTTAGGGAAAAAAAAAAGTCCATAAAAGGACAGACACTTTCCTTATAAATATAGTTCATCATTTTTAAAATGAATATATTTTTTGTTGTAATTTTCTTATATTATATAATTTTATCATTATTTAATATTTATTAATTTGTTGATATTAATTTTGGAATTGAATTATCTTTTAAAGGTTGATATTTTAATTTTTCATAAATTATTGGTAAAAGACTGTTAACATTAATAATTAACTTGTCTATTGATATTAGTATTCTGAACATGTTTTTATTTAAATTTGAACTGGACAGATTTATAGTTGATGATATAAATATATACAGTTGATATTTAATATGTTCAATCATACCGATTTCGTGACATTTAATATGAATATTTATAATCTATAATGTGAGCTTTAGTATGTGTATCAACTAATTCCCTTGATTATAACATCAGTTATGAATGTTTATAAATATTATTAAAGTAGTTTTTTAATACAAAAACAAATTTACTCAATAAACATGAAACTATCAATTCATTACATTTTTTAAAATAAATATAATTTTACTTTTATTAGCATCATGCAGTTTTTTAAAAGATAAAAGTTGGCTGTTTCTGCTGCTTTCTTTATCATAATAGAATAAGATGTAATATCAAATTATGTTGCACTAAAAAAATAAGTGTATAAAATAATTAAATAAAATAAAAATTATTATATTTTATAAATTGATTTAATATTTTTTACTACTTTATACATATAAATAATATATTACACTTTTATTATATTTTTTAATTATTTTATAAAACTTTTTAATACAAAATTAATTGGAGCAAAAAAATTAAATAAATATAAACAATTAAAACTTAAAAAAATAAGATTATATATAAAATTAATAGTCTAAAAATATGTATATTGACAATACACTAAAATTAAACTTATATTAATTCAAGGATACCTCTATTGATTTTAAAAATATAATCAACGATACAAATTTATGAGATATTTATCAACAACAATAATTTAGATAGTAAATATGTTTTAAAAAAGAAAATAGAAGTAAAAACAAGAAAAAATTAATTTTAAATTTCAGTATGACTTTATTAAATTTAATGAATAGTTTATAAAATTTTGTGCATGATATTTTAAAAAATATATATGAAAAATCAATAGATCAACTGCAAAAATACTGGTAAAATATTAGTAATTTAAACGCTTTAATTGATTTGAAAATTACTGCAAATAGTTAAAGATTAATAATCGAATTATTAAATTAAAGGAAAGAGAATCTAATTTGTTATACAAATTTTATTACTTTTTTACACTTTAATTATTTTAATGATTCTTTTATTAATTATTAATAACGTAAATACATTAAAAAATTAATGTGTATATATATATATATATATATATATATATTATGTAAATGAAAGTATACCATTTAAAAAGTAAAATATTCACTAAACTACTCTATTTGCATTAATTACATGTCTTTTTTAAGATTAAAATTAATTAAAAATATACATTAATTATAATTTTTATTCCTATAATATTTTTTCTTTTTATTTATTAATTTTTTAATTCAATTCCAAATTTTGAAAATAATATTTGTTAATTTATTTATTTTATGAATTTATATAAAATTTCATTTTTCCACATACAGAATATAATTTGTATTTTTATCATATATAATTGTTTATGAATAATTATGTTTATATATCTAATTTATTATTTTTAATACTCTTAATCAAATATTCAAAAATTGCTCGTATTTAATTTTGTGCATAAAATAATTTTTTTCCTAAAACTCGTTGAATCCATCATTTTCATTTTTCCTCTCAAATGTATTGTTTTAAAATACTTTTATCATGGCATTTGTTTTAATTAATTATAAAAAAAAGTTATTTCAATATTAATGTGTCTCATATTTTTCTCTATCTATCATAGAAAATACGTTTAATTTTTTAACTTTATATTCTCTTAACATAATATTATATATGTAAACTATATTTTTGTTCTGCAATATAATTTATTTAATCATTATTAACATATTATATTTGATTGATTTTATCATCGTTCAAATTTCTCAATTTCAATAACTTTTAATATTTATAGTATATACTAATGTTTTGGATTTATAATTAAAAAAAAAAAAAACTTGATCTAGTAGTGTTTAATTTTGTCGTATAATTTATATACTTGAATAACCTGTCATATATTAGTGATTTTATAGTATTTTATTTTATAATTTTTAGAGTATATTCCAAATATCCAAACAACATTACTTGTATGTTTTATTGTATTTAAGTACATGATTCTTAGTTTTTTAATTATTTTGTAATTAAAACTTTATTTTTTACAAGCTTATATCTTTTAAATTTGCATTTTTTAAGATATATTTGTAATTGATATTCAATGAATTTTTTTTATCATTATAAAATAAATTTTTTTTTTTAAATAAGTTATTATTTAAAATTATTTTAATTTTATTACAATTTTATATTTTAAAATATATTATTCATGAGTATAGAGTTAAATTAAAAGAAATTTAAAAAAAAAATCAAAACCTATCTTTTTATCTATTTTTTTTTGCAAAACTTGAGAAATGACATCCAAAATATATCAAAAGGTTTGTTCATTTATCAAAATGTTTAATAAATAGTAATATTTTTTTATTTAAATTATTATTATTCAATATAAAATATATTGTCATGTTTAAATTTGATAGATTTAATTTTTATAAAATGAAAATAATGTATAAAAAAGCTTTATATACCATTATTCTAAAATGAAGCTTTAAATTATCTTGATTTTAATTAATTATTTTTAATTTAACATAATTTAGTAGGCTTATATTTTTAACTTCAAATTTTTAAATACACTAAAAAGTTAATTAGAAACTTACTAAATTATTATTGTTTAAGTGTATAATATATGTATTTATAGAATTAAGTTATTATTTTCTTAAAAATCATCACATTAGTATATATAACATGTTTTGATTTTAATTTTTTTTTTGTAGTTTTAAATAAATTTAATAATTTATTTATTATATTTATGTTTTATATCTTTTTTAATACGTACATCTACATATATTATTAATTATGTCTTACATATTATTTATAAATTTTTATTCTTATTAAATATATCTTATAAGGATAAATATATTGAAGTTTATAACATCTTACTTAATATAAATTTTTCTATATGTAGATATCATAAGTTTTATTTATAGTTTGATGATTGACTAAATTAGAAATAAAAAAAAATAGCAACTAAATTAATAATATCTAAATAGGTAAAGTCAATAAAATAAAATAATGCATGCATGTTGTAAAAATATAAATCTATCTATAAATGTAAAATAATAAAAAACCAAAGATGCATTATTCTATGTTATTTTAATTTTAATTTTATTTTGTGTGTGTGTGTCATGGTATGTTATTTTAGTTATAACTTATAAAACTTGGAGTGGTCTTTTGATAAAATATATAAAGGTCCAACGCCAACATGACCTTGCCCAAGAAAGATAACTAAGCCCAAGCCTGTCTTATATTCTTTTCTCTCTAATGTGATGATTAAGCTCAAAAGGAATTTTCTGGACTTCAAATTGGATCGAGTGTTGTTATCTGGGTGAAAGAAAGCCCATCATGCTATTGTATTTCACAGTTTGTACCCAACACAATGTATATTGGGCCCATATTTTATAATAATATATTTCACAACATTTAGCCATATTACACAGCACAAAATGGCCATCTTACAGAAAATCGCATATGTCATAATCATTCTTTCCTCATCTTACATTCTGGTTCTTGTGTTCCATAGGCTATTTTAATCACCAGAGTTTATATGTACTCTTTTTTAGGAACATTATAAATGAAAATATGACAGATCAAGCTAGTTACATCATCCACCTACTGCAAGAACAGATTGATGAGAACTATGATCAAGAACAGATTTTAATAAGATATACTTGTTAATTCTCTTAGTATACATCACACAAAATTTAGTTTAATGAAGTAAAGAATAATATGCTTCAAACTACACGTAGGATGTGTTTTTCAGCCAACTATAGCACAGCTAAAAAAGAAAGAGAGAAAACCAAATGATGACATTATTGAGTGCAGTCATAATGAAACAGAAATAGTAATACTCATGATGATCAACAAA